ATGGACAACCATAGTTGTGCTTTTCTTCCAGTTCTCTGTATGGATAGAAGAGTGGCATATGTTGGGTTCTCAGGCTTGTGGTGTCAGGGAGGGTGCCTGAACTCGGCTGCTTGCTTAGGTAAAGACTGAATGCCTAAGCTCTCCCAGCATGAGGTTTTGGTTTTTTTTTTTCCCTTAACCTCTTCTGCCATTATGGATGCCAAAGTAGCCTGCACGTTGTACTGAATCCATTCTCACTACCTCCCTGCCTACAAGATTAAGTCCTCTGAATAACTACACTCTTGGCCCACTCAGACTGTCTTTAAGCCAGCACTGAACTTCCAAATACAAAAAGATATGTTTTCCATACAAAAGAAAATGTCAAAATTCAGTTTTCAATAGCATGTTCAAATTATTTATTTCTCCTTTCATCACACAAGGTATTTAACATCTCTGATTTACTTAAGAGTCCTTAGATTAGATCCTCTCCTCTCAGCCAATATGACTTCACTGGCTTAAAGCTGGCTCTATTTCCAGCAAGCAGGAACGTCTTGACACCAAAAGATACGAACAAGGCAACTCTTGCTAAAGTGTTCCTAGTCTCTCCATATGCACACATGGAAAAGGATCTTCAGAAGCTCTTTCCTTAGTGAGGGCATCTTATCATAACATTTACAGATAAATTAGCAAGATTATCCCTTACCTCATTCTATCATCATCAGCCAGCCCGTAATGCTATCATGACACTAGATTAAAGCTGCATATATAGGAACAACACATGCTTCTAATCCTTTCATCCATAGCCTACCTTTCTTTTTGCTCAAGCACATGACTAGTAAGAGCATGCAAGACAGATTCAGCCTGCTTTAATTAGAACCTTCTTCATATTTTGACCCATTATAAGTTTAATCATTCCACATATTGATTATGACTGATGTTTGAACCATATGGCAAGTACAGGATTAATCTAGTTTTGCTGCCTCAATTATACATAATTCCCACATTTACCCTCTGCAGAATTCTTGGATAAGCATGCTTTAGCATTCACATCAAAACATGCATGTGAATTTGCAAAACACATTAAGGTAAGATGTAGAACAACTTAGACAACACAAAGCCTGCCTTAAGTCTTTCCATGTAATCAGTAAAATATGAAGTACAGAACTCACTGTTAGTAATCTTCATCTATGACTCTCTATATCTGTATTTTCATCTGAAACTTGCTATATGTTTGAGAATGTCCTCAGCATAAGCCTCTTTCCAATTCTGCTGTAATTTATCTCTCTGCTCATTTACTGTTACCTCAATGGGAGTAGAAGACACATGGCATACACCAGCTTCTACTGGACGCATAAAGATCCTTGTGTATGGAACCACTTTCCATGCTTACAGAAACTCTAAAACTGCTGGCACAGGACAGTATTAAGGGAAGCTGAGATAAAATCCAGCAGCAGGAAAGAAGGATAAAAGCCAGCACAGAAGGCGCAGTCACGCTCTGGCTATACCACTGTGCCCACTGCACAACACAGCACCGGTCCACCAATCAAGCATTTGAGAATTTCTCCGCTAGCGCATTAGGTGCTATGGTACCATCTATAAAATAGACTGGAGGGGGGATAAAAAAAACCAACAAAACCAAAACAGCAGCACAGTGACACCGCATTGTCCTTGTAACAACGTGAACTTGAGTGTCTCCTGTGAAAAACTGCTGACACAGGATTTCAGTAATTCATTCCAAGACCAGCCTGACCCACTGCAAAATCTCCATGTTGATGAGGCGCGTAACAAGTAACGTTCTACCAAAACCACTGCGGTACAGGGTAAAGCCACCGTACTCAAATGTGCCAGTACCCACTGCGCTGCTTGATTTGTTTGCACCATTAGATACAGAATAGGGACTGAAGCACCTCTACAGCTGCTGCCAGACATCTGGCTCGAGAGTTTTTAGCGTTAACCCCCGCAAGGCCCTCGGGAAGGGCCTGCCTGACCCCCGCAGCAGCTGTGAGGGGAGAGGCGCCAAGTCACCGGCTCCTGCCGGTGAGC